TGGTATCAAGTAAAACCTACATATATATATAATTGGATATATAGCAAAAAATATAGTACATTATTGCATGATTTTTATCTATATATGTTTGTGAGCAACTATCTAGCGATTGGTTAAACCTATTTTAATGCGGTTCTCAGAAAAGTGGACTCACTTAGGAGAAGGTTTTAGTTATTATTATTAGTTAAAAGGTTTAAAAAAGAGAATTCTTCTTTAAACGTAGTTTAAAAAAGAATTATTATTAAAGTCAATTTGACGTTTCACATCAACTGCCTATAATGCCCACTGCTGCGCAAAGCCTCTTCTCACACGGAGAAGGTTTTAACATTAATCACCACGCGTGCTCAATGCGGGTTGGCGATTTCAAACTTATAATGAGAAATTATAAGCCCAAGTTTCCTTATGATGTATTCCTTCACCGTTTGTCAGTGGTGTCTAAATAATCTTAAAAAGTGCATAGTGCGGAAAATGTCACTTTGCTACTTGCCGTTGGTAGGTTTCGAACTTGCACTCTCATGCATGAGAAGCGAGCGTCTGAAACCTCCGGGCCATCACGACATTCAAAAGTGACGACAGTTTGACGTTTCAAAAGTGCCTAATGTTTTCTTCTAATTATTTCAACTAAATGCTTGTAGACCACTCGCCTAGTACCTAAACTTCGTCAACGAAAAAAAGGTATATGGAGTATAGGCACGCAATGCAATACGTATTAAATTAGCTTTCACCGAGTATGGTAAAGATTCTATGCTGACTTTAGATTAGTAGGGAAAAGTCAGGAGAAAGAAAGACCTATTATCTTCAATGTAAAGAACCTCTCGTTATCCCCTCATTTAATCGTCAGTCGAAGCGATCCCTTTGCAAACGATAGACTTCCACGATAAAAACTTTATTTATACTCATATAGAACGTATGTATTATAGGCATTAATGAGAATGCCAGACAGTTTTCAGTAATGAAGCCATGTTACGTCCCTGCGATAAAATTTAAGTGGTCCATGTGGACATAAAATGAGTTGATACTCGAATACAGTTGGCATAACAATTGGCTATATAAAACGACACCACGGATAGTGTCGGCAACAGATAAAGATGATAATGGCTTACACAGTTAGGGCTTTCTCCCGATAGGCCTCTATAAAAACGATTCAGCCAGTAATTATGGTAACGCGAGAAATTTCTTGACGTGAAAAGCGACGATAAAATACATAAATGTTTGCTCAGATATCACACCGTGAACGTTACGTACACGCAATTATGCAGACATGATGTATTTAAATGCTGACTACCGCCCCACGTAATGTTGAATTTGTGCTAAGTCACGTTATCCAAACGCAAACGGCGACACAAATTATTTTTCCCGGAAATATTTTTCTATCACAATGTGATGTGATTTTTGTAATTTGCGACCTTATTTAGCCTCACAATTATTTATAATATATTTGCGCACGAAATATCAAATGCTTTTTTTTCTTGACTCATTATTTCGAAGTATTTTCCTAACAAACATCAAACTTCTTTTTACTCGACCATATTGCAAGGTCAAGAACCAGAGTAAAGAAATTAAAAGCTCAAACGAAGTGCCCTTTGAAGTTTTAATTTAGAGGGAAATTTTTAATTTGACCGAAACGAAATGGTTATTATAATTGAATTCTCGTTGGATCTCTTTGCTATAGTATATACGGCCTTCCATATTACGGAGTCTGGGGTATGTTTGAGTGAAAAAATTGCGCGTCTTCTGCGCAGACAGGGAAGTAATGAATTACATTAATGCGAAAATGTAATGTGAGGTTTCACTTAAAATTATAATTGCATTACGGCGTGTTTGTAAACTCAAGACGAGGACTTGAATAGCCGAGAGAAAAGTTACAAAACTTAATTTCATACTTATAATTTGTCGTGTTGGCACAAGAGAGATGTCTGGGGAGATTTTATCATCACGGAAACTGAATTGTGTGTGTCAGTCAGATGGTGGCGCCGACTCGTGTTGTGAATAGAACTTGCTTCATTTTAGACTGTTCCCAAACACGGCAGTATGTGTCTATGAAAACTGCGCTTTACGTGTACCGTTCGTTTCTGAATACGACGTGACAAAAAAGGTTTGCAATTTTTAATCTTACATTGTTGTACAAATAAATTGTGGAATAAAATGAGTCACTCTTCGGCTGGGGCCTGGTACTGACAGCGTGATTATCTGGTCTGTACCGTTAATTTACTTTTAAATTCTTCGGTAACAAAATTTAGATCAATCTCCTTCGATATCTAAAATTTATTTATTGTAATTAATTTCATATTTATAGAAGGGTATCGATCCAATTAGTGTACTACGAATAAATATTCTGTAAAAGAAATAAACCTGAGAGTAAACGAGCATTGTATTTGTCAAGAGTCTAGACATGAATGGGTTTGTCCAGCAATGTACGGCTATTTTACTGCTCTAAGCCAATGTTTTGCAGGCGCCATTTTGAAATTATTCCATTTGAATTGTTTGTCGTTGTCTGTTGAAATTTCCAGGAAAAGAATTGTTTCGAATAAATGTGTCGTATTTTAAATATAACGTTATGGCGAGAAAATGAAATTCGTATTGTGAAGTATGAATATTTGTGTTGAAACACAGGCAGGCTCCATGCTGATCAATGTAAAAGCTATTTGTGAAATGTCAGCAGCTCATATTCTTGTTCGGGAGCACTTTGTTTTCAATATTGTTTGTGTCAACGATATTTTCACCATATTTTCTCAGTTACTGTAAATATTATCACGATATATAGTTACAATTATTTGTGTAGTAATGTCTGTTTACGTAATGTTCAAAAGGTACCGAGCGTTAAGTTTTATGACCTTTTTGGTTATATAGATTGATATAGGTGTTAAGATGTACAATTTACATATACTCTTCCTGCTGTTAAATTACCAATTTGTTGGGTAGGGTATACGAAACCTTCACATTAACGTAACTTCTAAATTTCTTTTTCAATTAAAATAGGTAACGAATTCAGACCAAACTCAATCTCTAAGACCTTGAACTTCGAAATCAGGCATCCAATCACGTTCCCAAACTTTGATTAGCTTCACGTTACTACTATGTACCTTTAGTCGAAGTAAAGTTCCCAATTGAAACACGAGACCCAACGATAACACGGTAAATTGAAAATTAACACTCGGCCAGTGAAATTACAGAGAAATTTCTATGCGTTACAAATTAAAGGGATTCTCAAATCAAGTTAGAAGTTTGTAAAGATATTACAAACTCGATTAAAGTCCAGTACGGAAACGCAGCTTATCAAAACAAGTTGGATCAGTATCTAAGCGTGGAACTTTAATTACTGGCCAACTTTAAACTCGGGACAAGGGTGGCGTTGGAAAAGAAGTGCATAAATGTCTCTTTGGTATGCCTTTAAGCATAGTGAAAGATGAATGTACCTAAGTGAGTTTTTCCTGTTTCGTGTGTAGGTACTGAAATGTAAAGTTGTGTGGTCGTAAATGTTTCATCATCATCATCAGCCATTAAACGCCCACTGCTGAGCACAGCCTCTTCTCACACGGCAAAGGTTTGAGCATCAACCACGCTTGCTTAATGCGGATTGGCGATTACAAACTTATAATTAGAAATTATAAGTTCAGGTTACCTGACTATGTTTTCCTTCACCGTTTGTCAGTACATATAACTCGGAAAAAGTCACATTGGTACTTGCCGTTGGTAGGTTTCGAACCCATGCCCTCATGCTTGAGAAGCGGGCGTCTTAAACCGCCGGGCCAACACGACGTACCTCTAAATGTTTATTTAGTACTAATTTCTACGTAATCAGACGAAATTCGACATATCATAAAATGTTTTGTTTATAACAGTGATTTAAACGAAAGGAATACAAAAGATTCCTTGCTAATATAGATCCAAAATGTTGGAAGAAAAAAACATAAACCTAGTTATTTCAATTAAGAAAACATTTTTGCAAAGTACAATGTATCAGTTAGTCTAACATAGGATTGAAAGGTTACCAATGAATAACAGTTACAAAAAAAGTATACATCGTCCTTTTTCTACGTTTTCCAAATAATACCTAATTGTTTGAAATAGGTTTTTCTATGTCAAAAAATAAAATGTCTACGTTACATTTTTACGATTTCGTCAAGTCATACCTATAACGACGTGTATGAGCCATGTGTCACTAGAATGTTATAACTAATGACCTGGCCTAGGTTTTTGCAACAGTATTTTTGTGTGTCTGTTTTTTTATTTACCAAAGCTCTATGCCCTCATCTAGTACCTAGGCAGAGTTAATGCCGTAGGCATTTTAATATTTTCATAGAATTCGCTTGATTAACTAAAAATAGGTAGGCAATAGGCTGCGCGACGTCGCCGCGACCGCGCACGCTGCTCATGAGGAAAAACCCCTCTGTAGTTCGAAACTAGTGGAGCTTTTCTCAGTATATTCACGTGAGTAATTTGCGATTTTTAGTTAATTTTGTATGTCTCACGATAGTAATTATAAGAATTCGTTTTGGTATTATTTTTCATGAGTTTATTTATTAGCATATGCCTTCTATGGACTTCGCTCGCTGTGCTACTACTGAATATTTAGATTTAAATACAAAATCATATTTAAATGAGCAATAGGCATGTAATAGAGTTTAAGGGTATATTAAATAACATACATAGTGAAAAGTGGGTGTTACATTGTACAGTGGCATTATGTGCACCTTTGCCTACCCCTTCGGGGCTAAAAGTCGTGATGTTATGAAGCTGATGATACAAATTTTTATTGTTACGACAAATAGAAATCTGATTTAGATATCTGTGACATATAAACCTGTTCTCTAACTAAGTCCGCATCTCAGGATAGCAGAATTCCTAACTAACAAAGATTAGATCCACCCTAATTGTAAATTCAACTCTATTGTGCAGTACTATTTCATTTGTTTGTGAAACAACTAACTTAGTTTACGAAAACTGAACTTTGCACGGACATTAAATGTTAGACCCTTGTGTTTTAACTTAAGACTTACGTCAACTTCTATCCCGGGTATCCGGAATATCTTCAGCGGTGGAACGTCCCTTGGGGAATACCGACAGAATTCTCGGTCTCCACGGTACCATTTGACGGAGTATAAAACCTCCTGTTCGAGGTCATAGAGGCACTTCATCTCGACTTTTGAACCTCGTTCCACGGCTTCCGGAACCACCACGTGCACATTTCGAAGGCAGTGTGCACCTGGAAAGAGGGAAATTTGAAATTAGTATACTATAAGTTTTAGGTGTAATAGTAAATTGGGTTTTGTTCTATTATGCTAAGGAGTAGTATTCTTTGCCAGAGTTTGTGTTTCCTGAAGGCTATTATAACCTGGGTGTCTTTAAGGCCCAAATGAATGGGTTGCTTATGGGTCGACGTGCTCCATCGTAAACTGCATCATCGTATACCACCAGGCGAGATAGTGGTCAAACTACGGCCAAGTAAGAAGATTACTATACGATTGGATGTCTTCCATCGGAAGATGATTTATATTACAATGAGCACTATCCGAAGACTAAATTTAAGTTCAAAATAAGAAATTAGTTTTTAAGTAAAACATGATTTTCTATCCGGTCTTATATAATAAATTACAAAACAGTTAATCAAGTTATAAACAAATAGATCGTGAATATTCGATCCAACAATACCTAAGAAATAACAAATCAATGTGATTCTGAGTACAGGACGACCCTATTATGTTCTCCATTAACCATTCAGATATAGGTAGTTTGTCCCTAAAATTATGGCTGTTTATTCAACCTGAGAATTGGATCCAAGATAACATGTATTGTATCTAGTTTGTAGACAGGAAAATCTATAGGGAGATATGTTTCAGTACATTTTACTACATAAGTTTTAAAAGGGTTTTTTATAGTTTGTACTAAATAAAACTGCCCTGTATGCTATTTTATTTTTAATTAATTAATTGCTTTGTATTACTAGTTTACAAGATAAAATGTTCAGTTTTCTTTTGCAATTTTTGGTGCTACGTTGTAAAAATATTTAACATTTTTTTACTTTTGACTACAGGTACAACTCTACCTACTTCCTTTGTGATAAAACAAACATTCACATTGTAATTCTATCCCAGCCTTTATTTAAACAAATCCCTACTTGTGTACTTAATATCTGTCAATGGAGCATTAACCAGCTGCGTACAAACAAAGGGTGATAAATCCGTGAAGAGGCATAATGTTTTAAACTCCAATAGTATTAAAGTATAAATTTGTTTAACTGTAATGACTGATTACATATTTATCTGGATATCGATTCGTGTTTAATATTGAATTTTGTATTTTTAATTTCAATCAGTGTAAAGTTTTGCAGCTGTTTTAAGAGACGTATTCGGTCAGCTGGACAAATGACTCGTATTTTTTATATTTAAAAACGTTGCCCCACATTACGATTATCTCTTGTGTCGTAAGTGCGATTTTCTTTTTTATAGAAAACGTTGCCCCACTCTAGGATTTTCTCCTATGTCGTGGGTGCGTTTACAAACATACAAGTTCACATACACAATGACACCCAGACCCGAAACAACAATTTGTAGATCACACAAAGTGTTGTTCCGTGCGGGAATCGAACCCGCGACACGTTGCACGGCAGCCGGTTGCCCAGCCACCGCACCAACCGTGCAGTCATTACAAACATACAAGTTCACATATATATGACAACTAGACCCGAAACAACAATTTGTGGATCACACAAAGAGTTGTTCCGTGCGGGATCCGAAACCGCGACCGGTTGGGCGGTAGCCGGTTCCCCAGCTACCGCACCAACCATGTAGTCAGTAAGGCTAATGATATTTTAAATAACATAAATATGTTTCATTGTTTTAAAAATTTTGAGACATATTCACAGTTAAAACCGCCTGGAATAGTGTCCGATGTTATTATCCTACTATTCGACTCAATAGACTCGATTAGAAGGATTTATAGTCATAACATGTTGGGGAGTACTGTTTTTATTGTTTAAAAGACATCTGCCTACTTTTTCAGCGAATAACAGAATCAGCAGGTGGATTGTATGTTTTTTGAACAGGCTTTAACAAAACAAGGAGGTTTTCAGTCTATTATTTATTTATTAATTTAATAAAAGGGTACAGGGTATACCTTATAACCTAGCGTGATGTCCAACAAAACTAATATTGAATGAAAAAATACTCGTATTTTTTAAGGGGGGAAAATTATCGACTTTCTTCTCCCACCCTTAGTCTCAGACTCTTACTGACTAAAAACCGCCCCGTTCCTACTCCTGCACTTCGAGCCGGAGCCCAGGTAACCCGTTAAGTTCTCCACGGCTCCGAAAGACAGCCTGTTTAAATTTAGGTTATGACAAAAAAATCTTAGATACTCGCATACGCACTTATTGTAATGGATAAGTAGCTCTTATCTTTCCGTATTTACAAACATAGTAACACTATCTTGTTATTAGCAATAAGTTACGACTTGTTATTATAAGATATCGCATCGCAACATATTCCGGTCAATTATTTGTCTCTGACATAAAAGATAAACTTCTTAAGTACTCAAATGTCCCACTTAACCTTGTATTGTTATTATTATTGTGACTTATTCTAAAACGTGAGTTTATTTTCTATCTTTATTTATATACTAGCTTCTGTCAGCGGCTTCTACCGGCTATATGTTATTCTATACCATAACCTACCTCTGTCCCAAATTTCACCTCACTCCCTTCAGCCGTTTTGGCGTGAAAGGGTAACAAAGAAATGTACAAACTTTCGCATTTATAATAATTAGTCGGATTAGTAGAATAATCCCCAAACTACCCAATCCCTGAATACCCAACAATTCTTAAAGTCCTATCCCTAAAAGGCCGATAACGTACTCGTAACCCCTCTGGTGTTCCAGATGTCCAATGACCATGGGCGACGCCAAATGCTTACAATCAGGTGATCCGTCTGCATGTTTACCGGTTTATCCCATTAAAAAATAATTTAGAGAGAAATTAATAATTAATCCTGTTATTCATTCGCCGTGTTCAGTCGTCTCGATGACTGAACTGTTGTGTATACAGTGTAAATGTTTTGCTCGTCGCCCGACCAGAACCAGACCCGAGCTTAGGGCGCGTCGCATTTCGAGCGCGCCTCAAAAAGCCTTTAGACCACCACAGACAGGGGCCCAATAGGGCTGATGCCGATACGGAGCCGCGAAGGGCTTAACTGGTTGCCGGGGCTCCGGCTCGAAGTGCATGAGTAGAAACGGGCTGATTTTTAGTCAGTAAGAGTCTGACACTCCCTTTTCACCTCACTCGGACGAGAGAAGTCATTGGATGATTTTCCACCCTCAATAAAAAAACCTCTTGAAATAACCAAAAAATAGATTTATTAACCACCAATTAAGAGTATGAAAGCAAAACGTTATGAATATATTGTGCATTAACTTACGCCTGCCTACAACGAAATTAAGTTCTGAAATCTATAAGACCATTTTTTTGAGCTTCATAATAATTTCTGTGTACTTTTTGGCCGTAAAAGAGAAAAAAATATGTTAGTACAAAATTTCTCCTACCAAGTGGCGTTGCCGTATTTTTTTCATTTAGGTAAGTAACTGTCTTTTTGTGTCTAGCGTTAGAAGATATTTGTGGGCTTCATTTTAATATAAACATCCTACATTTTACCTAATACCTAGTATACCGACATAGGCTATACCAATATTTTTTTTTTTTCAGGTAGCTTTTTGTCTACCCAAGTATTCTTTTCACAAACAAATTTATGTGACGACACAATTCTACGAGTTTTTATTAATGTTTTATTTAATTAAAAAAGTAAAAGTAGGTACAAGTTTTTCAGATGTCCTTCTAAGAAAATAATACATAAACAACAAAATAAAAAGTACTCGTGTATTCTAAAATTAGAGAAATGTTTTCACGAAAGTTTTTACTGCTTGATGTATTTTGAATGACTTGTGATGTCTAGACGTTATATAAGCGTGACTACTGTGTACCTGATACTAACTTCAGCCAGCGGCTTTGCCCGTTGGATAAAACACAACCTATGTGTTAATCTATAGGTATCATAATCTACCCCGTTCCAAGTTCTATCCTTTCCGCTGTTTTAATGTGACGAAGTGATTATTATACAAACTTTCGTTTTTATATATAAGCAGGATATAAATTATACATATAGATTTACATTGCCCAAATTATATATCATGGGATCGGTAGGTACTCTGATGTTATTTCCACTGCAGAAACTTACCTTAGGCTTACTTATCATTAGGCTCGTTTTTTACTATATAGCTGACTGTCTCTTTACGAAACAATAAACATGATGCTATACTACCAACGTGAAGGAAAACTTCCCTAAACGTTTATTTTCAAGCACTAAGAGTGATTACAGCGCTGACAGCATTCATGCAATATGCACAGTTTACGCTCAAGCTAATGTTCCTCGTGTTCAGTCAACGGTCCACTTAGAAGTTTCAGTTTCAAGAGAAAAAGCGAGTTCTGAAACTTTCCTTCAATCTATTCATGGTTTGAATTTCTGAGACCGAATATTAAATTATTGGAATGAAATGTAAGGCTATTTAGTAGCCGGTTTCATTAACCTATTTTTAAAATATAACTTTCGTGAACAGTAGATTAGCAACGCAATAATCGCAGTGTCGTGTGTCGCGTATGCTGCTTATGAATATGAGCCTCTGGTATAGTTGGAAACTAATCGAGTTCCTTGTCAAATTACGTGAATAAGCCGAAGAACATAATAATAAACCCATTTTTAAAGACTAGATAATTGATTGACATATTTTGTAAGGAGCTAATGTGAACACTTATTCTTTTTTGTGTAAACAAATCTACAGATAGATGACGTGTAGTCGATTCTAGAAATCCTCATATAGCGTCGAGTATGGAGTTGGTTGTATGTATGTGTAACTAACGAAAAGTAAATACGTGCACAGCATACTCGAGGATATAAAAAGCGTCGTGTTTATAGTTGAAACTGTCAGATTTTGAATCGGAATTTTTGGTTCTTGGTTGTGCAAAAGTATTTTTGTTATGAAACTATGTACATACATAACATCACGCCCATTATCCCCGAAGGGGTAGGCAGAGGTATACAGTATGCCACTGTACAATGTAACACCCACTTTTCACTATTTATAAGTCCCATGTAATAGGGGGTGAGCCTATTGCCATATACCGGGCACAATTCCAGACTCCCAAAAATTCCCAGTAGTAGC